TACATACACACACACACACAACACACACACACACAGACATACACATATATACATCTATATGTACATATAGCTATACATCTATATGTACATATAGATGTATATCACATTTACTTGATCTGTTCATCCACTGAGGGGCATCTGGGTTGGTTCCATATCTTAGCTATGGTAAATAATGCTGCAATAAACATAGTTGTGCTCGTAGCCTTAGTATGGCCTTGTTTGGGTAAATGCCCCAAAGTGGGATTGCTGGGTCATAGGGGAGCTCTATGTAGTCTTTTGAGGAACCTCCATACTGCTTTCCCCAGTGGTTGAAAATGTTTACTCTCCTACCAACAATGCAGTAGGGTTCCCTTCTAGCCACATCCCCTCCAGCATCTGATTATAGCCATTCTAACTGGGGTGAGGTGGAGTCTCAATGTTGTTTTGATTTGCATTTCTTTTATGGCTAGAGAAGTTGAGCATTTCTTCATGTGTGTGTTGGCCATTCGTTTTTTTGTTGTTGTTGGTCGTGGGGCTTGAACTCTGGGCCTGGGCGCTGTCCCTCAGCTCTTCAGCTCAAGGCGAGCACTCTACCACTTGAGCTACAGCGCCACTTCCGGTTTTCTGGTGGTTTATTGGAGATAGGAGTCTCACGGTCTCTCCTGCCCGGGCTGGCTTTGAACCGTGATCCTCAGATCTCAGCCTCCTGAGTAGCTAGGATTACAGGCGTGAGCCACCAGTGCCCGGCTAAAACCTTTTTTTTTTTTTTTTTTTTGTCGGTCAAGGGGCTTGAACTCTGGGCCTGGGCGTCGTCCCTCAGCTCTTCAGCTCAAGGTGAGTGCTCTACCACTTGAGCTACAGCGCCACTTCCTGGCCATTCTTATTTCCTCTTCAGAGACGTTTTTCTTTAAGTCTTTTTTTTTTTTTTTTTGCTGGTCGTGGACCTGAACTCTGGGCCTAGCTGCTGTCCTTCAGGTCTTCAGCTCAAGCTAGCGTTCCACCACTTGAGCCACAGCACCACTTCTGGCTTTTTCTGTATATGTGGTGCTGAGGAATCAAACCAGGGGCCTCATGCATGCAAGGCAAGCGCTCTACTACTGAGCCTCCTTCCCAGCCCTTTCTTTAAGTCTTTTTTTTTTTTTGGTCCAGTTGTGGGGCCTGACCTCTGGGCTTGGGCACTGTCCCTCAGCTCTTCAGCTCAAGGCTAGCGCTCTACCACTTGAGCCACAGTTCCACTTCCAGCTTTTTTCTATTTGCTTATGTGATGCTGAGGCACCGAACCCAAGGCCTCATGCATGCAAGGCAAGCGCTCTACCACTGAGCCACCTTCCCAGCCCCCTTTCTTTAAGTCTTTAGTCCCTGATTTATCTGACAGTTGTTTTTTGGTAGATTTGTTGTTGGGGGATTTACATCTGTCTTTTTTAAGTTGATTCTGTATCTCTGAATCAGACTTTAATTAAAACTCACAGTATGCCTGGGAAGCCTCACCTAAAAAACTAAATTGGGGAGAACAATGGCGTTCAAACTTGTGTCCTACCTCAGTGACAGTCTCCTCTTCTGATCTGTGGCTTCCATGTAATTTAAGATCACACCCCAGCCTGCTTATTTATACCTTATTTTGAGGGAACAAGAAGCCAGATTTGGCAATGGGAGAGTCTCTGGTGGACCTTACCACATACTGACATTCTGGAGGGGTGTGTGGCAGCTAGAAGCACAAAAGTGGTGTCTTTGCAAAATTGTTGTCTCCTGGGAGAGGTGTTGTTCCTAAAGTTCCTCTGACATTTAATTGTGAGAACTCATCTGCCACTTTGCTTTCAGTGAGAACCATAACCAGCTGACCAATCTTTGCTAAGACCAAGGACTTGTGCATGGAGTGTACCACTATAGGCCTCTGTCACCACTTCCATTCTTGTTCTAGAGGAAACCAACTCAGAATGTCAAGAACGCTCCCTCCAACCCTCAGTCCTGAATCTTCCCACTTACAGTGATTAGTTTTGAAGGACAGTATGTTAAACGACATAAATAATCCCCCTTAAAAACAAAAGGACACAACACACGTTTTCACTTAACCTGTAAAAGCTAAATGGTTAGTCTCGAAGTACTAGGGAATAGAATGATGATTAACAGAGCATGAAAATGGGGTGGGGGAGGAAGTGAAGAGAACATGGTTTATGGGTACAAGAGTGAAGTTGGATAGAAGAGGTAACTTTTTTTGGTGCTGGGTTTTGAACACAGTACCACATACATACAAGTGTATATTGTACCACTGAACAAAACCCCCAGTTTAGAAGGAATAACTATGAAAGTTAACCCATTATGTCAAAGGTAATTGATGGTGGCGCAGGGATATAAATGGGGACTGTGGAGTAATGTATAAGATGAAGAACAAATAGACATATAGATAGAGACAAACATATACACACATTTATGTATATATGCATTTAGTATATATATGTATACATTTACATATATACGGTATATAAGAAGCTAGAATAATGAAACCCACTCAACACTGCAAACAGGAGGTTAAGGGAATGTGATTAAAAAACAAACAGTGGGGGGGAGTTTGGAAGTAGCTCAGTGGTAGAGTCCTTGCCTTGCATGTTGAGGCCTTGGGTTCAATTCCTCAGCACCGCATAAGCACAAAAGACTGAAAGTGACACTGTGGCTTAAGCAGTAGTGCGCTAGCCTTGAGCTAAAGAGCTGAGGGACAGCGCCCAGGCAGAGTTCAGGCCCCACGACCAACAAAATGAATGAATGAATGAATGAATGAATAAATATGTAAATAAAACAAGGGGTGAACTTGCTCAAAGTCCACTGTGTTGTCCATCTATGGAATATAGTAATGAAATCCCCCTGTATTATATACATGTGTGCTAATAAAAAGTAGCAAAAATGATTAGTTAAATGTCTGAAAATAGCTAGCATAAATGTGCCAGTGAACAGGCCAGTACTGTGAGTGGATAATTAAACATTAGACACTCATGTGTCTAATGTGGTCTGTACCGTGTCTGTGTCTTACCCCATGAATAGGTAAAGGCCTAGGCAACAACTAAAATAAACACAGACAAAAATACTTAAATAAATTAAAAATGTGAAAACACAGATATTCTTGTTTTCTCTTCTCTCAGGAACTGTGTTTAACAGAGTTCTGGGTAGAGGCAGACACTGTCTTGATCATGTTGAGGTAGCGAAGTGTAGGTCACCTGCTGCACAATGAGCTGAGGAATTGCACAGGAGCTACAGGGGTCCTGGGGGAAGACTCTATGGACAGTGCTCAGAATTCCCCAGTAGAGCAGATGGAGTGACATTGTGTCCACACAAGTATATTCTGGGGATAAAAAGCTCTTTGAGTAACAGGAGAGGAAAAAGGAGGCCTCTCCCTTTCTGGGATGTTTCACTTTGACAAATTAATTCCTATTTAATTTGTAGCCATTTAAGTTCCCAACATCCCTGAGCGATGCAGAAGTTAAGTCTGCATGACAGATACTGCTAGTGGGGCAAACTAAGGAAGTGCTGGATGACAATGCAGACAAGTTGACAGAACTAGGAAGTGAACTAACCCTACTGTCAGAGAGGCAGGCATAGACCATGCTTCTACATTGATACATTCATACATATATACACATGCACACACATATATATGTATACATAAGATTATGCATATATATATATATAGTATATATGTAAATATGATTTTCTTGATGGGCATATCTGAAAATCCTGGATCATGAATTATATTTCTTGGTTTTCTCTTCCTGTCTTCACCATCCATTTCTCATCTGTGATTTGTTCTCTTGGTGGACACAGTCCTCTCTGATCTTGGAGACTGGGTCTGTCCACATCCCAAACAGAAAGAGTTTGGAGATCTCTGGGCAAGCGAATGTTTCCTCACTGTGTTCCTTCACTCTGGGGGACAGGCCGAGCACAAGTGTGGCTGTGAGGACCGGAGCACAGCTGTGGTCAGCGCCAGTTGACACGGTGGCACATGGAGTCCTGTTCACATTCCTCCCGTGTGTTAGCCCAAACATGCTGTGAGATTGACGTTTAATGAGGCCACACTTGGGAGAAGAATCCTGTGTACTCTGTAGGAACAATTTTGCAACATCTCATGTCTCATTTGCCACATTCTTCAAAGAATCTCATGAATCCAACCTTGTCTTTATAAAGCCAGTTGGCTGCTTGCTTTATTCTGGTTATTCCTTGAACTTGCAGGTTTCTCCTTGCATGGTAAATCTTTGAATAAAGTGTATTTGTGTCTCAACTTTAACAAGGCAAAATTTAAATATGCTATATACTTTGTACACTTAATAATGTTAAGTATAGCCAGGTGCCGATGGCTCATGCCTGTAATCCTAGTAACTCAGGAGGCTGAGCTGTGAAGATCATGGTTCATAGCCAGCCTAGGCAGCAAAGCCCTTGAGATTCCTTTTTTTGGGGGGGGGTCCGGTTGTGGAGCCTGAACTCTGAGCCTGGGCGCTGTCCCTCAGCTCTTCAGCTCAAGGCTAGCACTCTACCACTTGCGCCACAGAAACACTTCGGGCTTTTTTCTTATGTGGTGCTGAGGAATCGAACCCAGGGCCTTGAGCATGCAAGGCAAGTGCTCCACCACTGAGCCACCTTCCCAGCCCCGCCCTTGAGACTCTTATCTCCAATTAACCACCTGAAAACTGGAAGTGGCCCTGTGGCTCAAGTGGTAGAGCACTCACCTTGAGTTAAAGAGCTCAGGACAGCGCCCAGGCCTAGAGTTCAAGCCCCACAATGGACAAAAAAAAAAAACCTAAATATAAGAAAAGAGCCAGTCACAAGGGTAATAAATCATTAATAGATTAGGTAGTGACTTGAGAGCAGGTAGTGACTGGAAAGCAGGTTTTAAACCCTGACAATGTAAGAGTTCACTTAGAACTAAGAATACTAAATGTAAATTCTCCTTGCCAAGAGGTTTTTTTTTTTTTTTTTTAACTTTACGTGGCTTTATTTTTTTCAGTTAAAATAATGGAATGAAACCACAATATTTCCTTTTTTGTTATTTTGCAGAAAAAAACATGTCTGCAATAATCAAGGATGTGTGTGATGGGTAAGTGTTGCAAAGATTCTTCTGAAGCATTCAGTCCATACCTTGGCAGGAACATAGAGTATTTCCGCTGGAGGGATAGAATATTATCCATAATCCTGTAAATAAAGGATAACCATAAATCTTATTCGTAACTGTTCATGTGACCTACCTAGTCACAAAGAATTACCTTGTGAGAGTTACCCTTCTTTCTCCACCAAAATCTTTCCCCTACTCCTTGAAGAATAGAAAGCATGGAATGGCTGGCTCCATATGTACAGAGGGTTGGTATTATTTCTTTTGAACACTCATGTTCCTTTCATCCTTCCAAGCAGGGAACCTTTAGACTAAATGTTCCTAAGAGTTAAATACACACTCCTTCTGACATACACTGAAAGCATCCCACAGGCCCCTGTGGAAGAATTAACAGACAAGTCCGTGGGTAATTGTGTGTTTTGTGGAATTTTCCCACTGACTGACACGCCTTTCCTCCCTCTGGGTTGTTCTAACCATCCTGAGGAAGGGCACATTGGAAAGTCGCATGGTATTTCTTGACTTGTAAAGCAGAACTGTGAATAGAATATTAGGGGAAGTTAGAGAAGACTTGCCATACTTAGTGTGTTCCAATCTGTGTGGGGTGAACTGATTGTGAGTTAAAGAATTCAGTGACAATTGGCAATGTGCTAATTCTCACACGTTTAAATTGCTGCCATTTACCTTGCTATCATTTCTTTGCCTCAATTCTTCAAAATGAAGAATGTTGCCACTCACAATTTAAGTCCGTCCACCCCCAAGCCTTGATGAAATGCTTAGAGGTGAGCAGTAGCCTTGGTCTAGGAACTTCAGAGAGGAAAGGACTGTTGGTCTTAGGGTCTTAGGTGAGTTAAAGCCATTTTCTTTAGAGACCCCATTGTGCCTATTTGAGACTGACTCCATTCTAATCATAGTGAATGTAATTCACCTCACCCCTGGAGAACAAATAAAAATGAAGAGGAGCACTTTTGTTTCTCTGATCACTTATGCTATGTTTTGTAGGTCATCTCTTGCCAACCATGAATGCTTTGCACTGCAACATGCTGACCGTTCAAATTTCTATATTACAGAAAAGGTAGGCCAGTCACATTGTTTTAATCAGGGATACTTACACTGAAGGACAGTACACAGAGTAAGGGGTTTCTTCTGTGTAGGGCCTAGCATGCATTTTTTATGTCTTTACCATCCATGAAAATAGGGTCTATAAAAAAAATCAGGGCTGGGAAGGTGGCTCAGTGGTAGAGCGCTTGCCTGTCAAGCATGAGGCCCTGGATTTGATTCCTTAGCACCACATAAGTAAAACGAAAAAAAGCGGGAAGTGGGGCTGTGGCTCAAGTGGTAGAGCGCTAGCCTTGAGCTGAAGAGCTGAGGGAAAGTTCAGGCCCCATGACCTGACCCCAAGAAAAATAAAATCAAAACAAAAACAGCAAAAAAAACCCCTTCTACTACTTATAAGACAGTAGTTAATCTATTCAAGAGTAAAGACTAAGTATGTTTCTGAATCCTGCTAGCAAATCATATTTCCTTTTTAACAATTAAATATTGCTGGGTTAGAGAATTTACTTTATACTGGATGACTTAAGTTTGTTCTCTTGCCTCAGATTTTTATTTTCTCCTTAATTTGTTTCCCCTGGTCTTGGCCTAGGTGCTGTCTTTGAGTTTCTTTGGCTCAATGCTAATGCTCTACAAATTGAGCTGCAGCTCCCTTTCTGTTTTTTTTTTTTTGTAGTTTATTGGAGATAACACTCTCATTGACTTTACTGCCTGGGTTGGCTTTGAAATGTGATGTAACTAGGATTACAAGAGTGAGGTAGCAGCACTCAGTTTCCCCTGTGTTATTATTTTTTTAAATGCTTAGAAGAGTGACAGGAAATCTTGTCACATGTGGCACTTTATAGTCACTTGCTTATGACTGTTGGAAACCAACTTTCTTCCTGAGTGATCTTCACACTCTTTAGAAAGCTTGAATTTGGAGTGATTTGTGAAGACTATAAATGGACCTAGAAGCAAGGAAACTTAGTACCCAAAAGATCTCTGATGGGCAAAGGGGAATCTAGCATTAATAGGTACCAGGCGCACTGAGCCAAGCAAATTTATGTTTGCTTATTGATTTTTTTTTTTCGGTTGTGGGGCCTGAACTCTGGTCCTGGATGCTGTCCCCCAGTTCTTCAGCTGTAGACCAGCATTCTATCACTTGAGTCTCAGCCCCCACTTCTGGCTTTTTCTGCTTATATGGTGCTGAGGAATCGAACCGAGGGCCTCATGCATGCAAGGCAAATGCTCTACCACTGAGCCACCTTCCCAGCCCCTGTTTATTGATTTTTTGTTTCTCACAAGTTAATATAATATAATATAATACAAAAACCAAACTATTCAGACGAAGAGAAAACATGCTTCTAAGGAATATCATAGTTATTTTTTGTAAAATCCTGTTTTTTACTGAGAAATTATCTCAAGGCATTACTGGGATTTGAACCTAGGGCTTGACACTTGATAGGCAGGTGCTATACCACTTGAGCCATGTGCCCAGGCCCTCGCCTGAAAATTGTTTTGTTTAGTTTGAAAGGGACAGAGCATCTAAATGTGCTATCAGGTCTCCAGCGGGAAGTAGCAGAGAGAGATTAGAGGCTTGTGTTTCTAATTGTAACCCTGTGTTTGTAAATAAAATGTCATCACTTCCTTTGCAGCTGTTCCTGGTTCTAGCTTTGTGTGTGTTTGTGTGTGACAAAGAGCTGGACACACACAGAGCAGGAGAGGCTGGTAAATCTTGCCTCTGTGCAGTGGAAGCTGGGCTATCTTAGTATTCTGTAGGTTCATATAGGCTCTTGCAAATATTCCTGAAAATAGAGACCTCGTTCCATTCTTGAATTTCCTCCTTGCTGTCTTCTTGGTTACTTACTGACCAGTGAGTTGTTAGGCAATATTTGTATCACCACGGAAACCAGTGATTCATGTTTGAAACTTGCGTGTGCCATTAGTTACTGATTTTGACGCATATATGAGGTGGTTTCCCTCCTTCTGTTGGAGAAAAAATTGCTCTAGTACCTCAAAGAGGTGATATTCTCCCACCTTATAGTTATTGATTCTCTTCTTCAATTCATTCTAATATTACCAGGAAGACATCTCCCTTGCTTTTTTCATGTTATCCAAGCTCCTTTGCCGAAAACCTTCATTTGTGTATTGGTCCATGAACTGGAGCTTTTTAGTTCAATGAGAGAAATGGCATGTTAAGTAGCAGTCTACAGACGTATAGATTGCAAGTAAAAGCCTCAGAGACCAGGAGCTCATGCCTGTAATCCTAGCTACTCAGAAGGAAAGGATCTGAAGATTGCAGTTCAAAGCCAGCCTGGACAGGAAACTTCATGAGATCCTTATCTCCAATTAACCATCAAAAAGCCAGAAGGGGAGCTGTAGCTCAAGTAGTAAAACACTAGTCTTGAGCAAAAAGGCTAAGGGACAGAGCTCAGACCCTGAGTTCAAGTCCCAGGACACACACACACGCACGCACGCACGCACGCACGCACGCACGCACGCACGCACGCATGCATGCATTAGAGGAAGGTAAAATTTAGTTATATGTAAGTTCAAGTTCTGTTCCAGAAGGTTACTTATTTGGGGGTGATATCTGAGGGAGAAAGGGAGAAAAGGGAGGGGAGGAGAAAGGGAGAGAGAGACAGACAGACACACAGAGAGAATAAAACAGACACGTGTTTCTATAAAATTTGCTTTTTGAGTAAGAATTATAAGGAGAGAATGCTCCTTTGAGTCGCATAGACTTGTGTTATGGTCGCTGTAGCAGAGCAATGAGACAATGAGGTCACAGGTTATTCAGGTCAGAAGTGGGTGGGCCCTGCAGGTCTCTCCTGGAGATCCTCTGTACCACCATCTGGGCCCCATTTGTTTCTGTGGATTCCAGCTCAGGATAGCGATTGTCTCAGGAGATTAAATAGAGAAGTTACAGGCTGAGCGTCCTGGTTACCAGTTTCAGGGTATGATTTCTCGTGGGGTGGACACTATGTGGGTGGACGTCCACACTCAGCAGAGATTCACAGAGCCTTTCACTTCCCTTTGTTCTACTTTGGCTGTCTAAGAGCACGTGTGAGTGTGTGCGTGTGTACACACATGTGTACTAATGCCATTCTTGTTTAGCACATGGGAAACTGCCTTGTTTTCTTTACCCTATTTGTGCAGAAAGCTGGGTATCCCAGTATATAGGTCTCAGTGCAGGAAGCACTAGGAGGTTGCATACTTACAGTAATGGAGGCTTCGTGAGGACTGTAGAGCCTGAGAATGCCCAAAGTACTCTCCATCTGACTGATAAATGCCTTCACTTGTCATGGTAGAGATCAGGTGAGCCTCATCCAGGTGCCTCCTGGAAAGCTGAGCTAGGAGTAGGAGCCTTTGGGAAGAAGTGGGGTCCTTTTGGGCTCACCCTCATTTTGTCCTCCCCAACTCCTTTGGTCTACAGGTCCTCAGGCAGCCCTGGACCTTCTCAGAGTCATGGGGAGGACATGACTGTGGGTAGCCTCTGCCTGCACCCCAGACATCTTTGGGTGGGGTTTAGTTCAGTGCTTTGGTTGATTGAGCCTTACATTAGCAGAGTAAAACAAACCTCCAGAAAGGATTGAAGTGTATAGATGAGGAGGGCGGAAGGCTGGTGCAGGAATTGTGAGTTCCTGTCTGTGCCTCCCTAGGAGAGGAGCTTTGTGATTGGTCAGTTGTGCCCCTGACTGAAATCCCTGTGTATAGATCTTTGTGACCTCCAATCACAGAGCCTTTCCTAGGACAGACATTTTAATTGGAGCAAACAAACCCAAGTCCAGGAAGTTTATAGCTTTCCCAGCTCTGAAATAGTTATTCTTTCTGCCACCAGTTGTAAAATTCGGGATCCTTTGGACAAGAAGTTGCTGCTTCTTCAGTAAACCATACACCTCAGTCAGGTCATGCACAGTCACACCTGCAGGCTGGGCCAGTCCCTTCAGGTCTGGCTTTTGGCAGACAGAGGGGAGTGGAAGCAATGTGCTACAATCCTGGTCCTTCAGCTCCTCTGGGTTTGCTGACTCTTAAGTGTTTCTATCATGTTTTCCTTCTGGTCCTCCTTCCCCTCTTGACACTTCTGTGACTTCGGTCTCCTCTGAAACACATGCCCTTCTGCTGAATCCATTCTCTCATACTTGACCAAGCCTGACGTCTATTATCAATGCTTTAAGGCTGTCCTGTTGCCTGCTTGTGTGTCTGTACCCTGCCTTTGTCAAACACGGGACTTTCCTAGTCAGCCTGCTTGTCTTGAACTTGGTGAGCTCCAGATGCATGGCTTCCAGAAGGAAATGGCCAGGCTGAGAGGGAATACCCACGCATGAATGCATTCAATACAAGCAACTCGATTGATTCCTTATGTGTGCCAGGCTCTGGGCTGAGCTCGGGGAAGAGTTCCAACTTTGCAAAACTGTCACAGACATTTTCCCTGTATTGCTGGATTACAGTGACAGTAAGTGGCACAAAAGGACACATGTGCGTGTCCATCTTAACTGTGTCTGGGGGGGGGACATTGAGGCATAGATGAGAAGCAAGGAGAAAGGATAAATGGAGCCTTTAAAGTCATCAGTTGATCAAGGCTAACACTCTACTTCTGGCTTTTTGTTAGTTAATTGGAGGTAAGAGTGTCTAGCTTGGAACCTGAATCCTCATAGCTCAGCCTCCTGATTAGCTAGGATTATAGGCACATTATAGGCACTAGTCTATAATAGTTTTGATTCTAAGGAAAAATGGGATCAAGTCATAGTCCTGAAATGTCTGCCTTTAAAAAACCTCTGACTTAGTTCTTTGATAGCTTGGCTTAGGGCTCTGGTAATACACTAGTGTGAGGAAAAGTGTTTATTTCTTCCCACGGAGATGTCTTCTTGATGAAGTGTTTTGCTCAAATGATGTAATGTTAATAAATAGTTATCTAACTTATATCTAGTTATAACTTCCTCTTTACTTCTAACAGGATAAAGTTAGCCCTGATTTTAAATACCAAATGCTTCTAACATATTCACAGAAAAATAAGTTAAAAATGTCTGTCATGTTTTCAGA